TGTCCTCGTTTCAAGAAATAGTAAATCGTGCTAAAGATCTAGAGAGAGCTCAGAATGAAAGGGTTGGGGATCAAAGAACCTAATCATCTAAAAGAACCGAGGCTTTATCGAGTTCTGCACCACCCAAGAGGGGTAGAGATTCTGGTACTCAGTCTCAGGCAAGGTCTGGATTGGTAGAATCCTTCGTTAGAGAATCAAATCAGAGGAAAGCTAGACAGACCCAATCAGTAGGGTTTGGTGAGGACAGAACCCAACAGAGACATTGTCAGACTTGTGGAAAATATCATGGTGGAATATGTAGGGTAGAATCCGGAGCTTGTTTCCGATGTGGTGAAATGGGACATTTTGTGAGAGATTGCCCATTGGGGAAAGGAGAACCAGTACTGTCGGAACGATCTGCTTCGATACCTTGGAGAGGGAGAGGTAGAGGAAGAGGTAGGAGCCAACCTGAATCCTCTACTCAACAAGAAATACACTCCACTGCTCGAATGTATAATATTAATACCAATGAAGATTTTGATGATCCGGAGATAATAGCAGGTATCTTTCTAGTGTGAAATAAATACATTATGATAATGATTGATTTAGGCTTGCATGTTCATATATTAGTAGTAAATTGGTGAAAGAATTGATAATTCAATTAGAAGTTATTTATAGTAATATGACAGTGACAAATTTATTAGGGTATAGTGTGTGGATAAGTAAGATATATTGAAAGTGTCCCATTATAATTCAGAGAATTTAATTTATTACTAAATTGATGAATTATTATTCAATGAATTTGAAGTAAGATTGGAAATAAACCAGTTTTATAATTACCATAAAAATTTCAATTATAATTGAAAAGAGTAGAGTTAAACAATTTAGATGAATTGGAAATTATAATGTTAGAGGATTTATATCGTTCTGAAATAGAATAGTTTCTTTGCTGCATTGATAAGATAAGGTAGAGGGGATGATTCTTATAAGGAGAATATTAAAAGATCAAATGATGCAGAATATTGTTATAGAAAAGTTTAAGAATATGTACATCAGTGATCAGTTTATAAGACAAAGGAAAATGGAATGGTTGAATCTGAACCATAAAAAAAATTATATGGTAATTAGAGATTAAAAAAATAAAATAAAATAAAAATAGATGGATTATTGGTATGGAGTGATGAAAATAGAGATTACTGTCTATATAATGAGTTATATTATATGGATTTTAGAAAGGTTAAAGTAAAATGCATTGGAGACGTGTAGACAGTATCTTATCTCCTAGAGCAATGAAAATTCGAGGGGGGAAGATATGTAACATCCCAAACTACGGGTTAATGACTAAATTGTAAAAATTTCAGAATATGGTGATTAAAGTAGAATATTTGAATAGTTTAATGATTTATGTGGAGATATTTCCTGAAAGTTATTAGTAAATATTAAAGGAGTAAAAGGGCAAATAATTAATTGAACAAGGAAAATAATTAAATAATAATTAATGGGTATTATAATACCCATGTGGATAATGACTGAAGAGATAAGCTTCAAAGCAATTCTCTTCTTCATCTTCTTCTCTTCTCCATGTGAAAACTCAAAGCAAAGGTGAATTATCTAATTTCTTGATTGTTTGTTGATTTTAAGCATGAGTTTTGATCCTTAGAGGATAACTAAGCTTAAGGAAAGATTAAGTTATCTTAAAATCAAAAGATGAAGAAGTTATAAGAGATTTAAGAAAACGAGTTTTTATATGAAATCATGGAATAGAGTTGATAAGTTGAATTTTAAGTTGAATTTGACTTGTCATCTATGAGAATAAGAAGATAGAAGTGTTAGAATTGTATTTAGAACATATGGAAAATTGAGTATGATTCTTGAATTTCATATGAAGGATATGATTTTGAAGTTATAGATGATTTTCATGGATATAAGTTAGTTTAAGTAATGGTAGTTGAGTTTAATGACATGGTAGGGGTTTAAAATAGAAGAATTGAAGGAAAAATTGATGATTTTCGAGCTTAAAATACAATTTCTGGGTAGAGGGAACCGATACCCTATGAATGGGAATCGATTCCCCCTCTTGAACGAAAAATTCCAGTATGTTCAGGGGGTATCGATTCCCCTGGGGGGTATCGATTCCCCCCTAAATGAAAATATAGAATTTGATTCATTAAACCGATTTAAGTTATTAACATCAAGTTTAAAGTTTAGGCTTCCGATAGTTGTTTTGAAATGATATATTTATGTAGATATTGAGCCTAAACAAGTTCCGAAATAATCAAAGGATTATAATCGAATCAAAGCAAGGCTAAGGTGACTGCAATTTAAATTGTACTTATGTGATTGATCAAACATTGGCTTGCGATGAGTCAATGATAGAGTTACTATGGTAAGAAGTAACTTATATAATGTTATATGATTACTATGTGTGCATTAGTACATAGAAATGGAAGTATGTTTATATGTTACATGATTTACATGCTTACGTGAAAATGCAACATATGATATTAGATATATGTTTACACATACATGTGGTATGTGACAGAAGAGAAGGAACATGTGATTATGAGATCAATGATTACACGTACATGTGATACGTGACTGAAAAGAAAAGATATGTGTTTATAAGAGAAAGAATATGAATAAGTAATGTTAACTGTTATAAATGATAATGCCCATGTTATGTGATATGAGAGCTAGGGGTATAGTTGGCATGCCAAGGGTCGAGGGTTTACCTATGTTCTTCGGGACATATGGACTGTTTACCTATGTTCTTCGGGACATATGGATTGTTTACCTATGTTCTTCGGGACATATGGACTGTTTACCTATGTTCTTCGGGACATATGGACTGATTACCTAGGTTCTTCGGAATCTATGGACTGGTCCTTCGGGACATTTATACGAGCTGTTGTGACAGCATAGTAGTGCACAACCTCAATGTACTCACATACTTTAAGTTCTCAAAAGTATACATGGGCTAATACATGGTCTTTATAGAGAGTAAATAAATAAATTGATTTGCTACTATGTATGTTTTGTTGTGAAGTAGTATATGTGTTCCATGGTATGTAGAGAAATGTTCGATATATATATTTATACGATAAAAAGGTATTAAAAGTACTTGTATTATCTTATGTTATCATGTATACTAAATTATATGCGACACGATTGAATTCATAGATTGAATGTTTATATTTATGAGAAATGCATTATTATTATGTTTTTGCTTCACTAAGTCTATGACTTAGCGTGTAAGTGATTAACACGTAGGTACTGAGAAGCAGAAGGATCAAAGCTAAGTTCAAAGTAACAACATATCTCTGCTCAAAGATCAGATCAGAAGTAAATTACACAGTATGTATTATTATGTGATAAATAGGTTGGCATGCAAATAAAGTAGGTAAATTAGGTATTTATGCTCTGATCGAGTTTTGTAATATTTTAAACATATTTATATAAGTATAAATGCAAAGAAATGAACGGTTAAAGTTTTACGAGTGTTATGTACAATTTACGAAAATCGCTGTAGCACTGTAGCAGGTTACTGTAGTACTGTTCATATCGTATTTCACCGTTCATAAACACGTTTTTATCTCAAAATTTTATACCAAACACAATTGAATAATATATGATTGTATTTTCTTAATATAAATTCAAATGTTCAGTTATTTTACAAGAATAAAGGTTTTGAAAATGTCAATGTGACATCTCGGACTCGTATCCAGGTCGGGTACGGGTTGGGGTGTTACACAATATGGATTTAGATCATTAATGGGACTCAAAGCCTATGTAACAAAGCAAAGTTTGCTTAAACAAGCCCCATCTAAGCCAACTCACAAATAAACCAGAGCCGTCTGAGCTAGGTTGATTGCAGTTGGACCGGTTTATATTTTAATTATTATTTTAAACTTGAATCATTTTAGTTTCTTGTCATCTTTAGTTAATATGGTTTTAAGTATATGTCATTCAAGGTTCAGGTTATTTGACTCTGTTAATTTTTAGGGTAAACTACATGTTTAGTATGCCAACTAGCATCATTCAATTAGTTTTTGTTTCAAAATCATATCTAGCTTTATGATTTTGTTTCATTTTGGTCACCAACCGTTAAAAATTAACAATACTGTTGACGTAGCATATTTAATTTTTTTCAAAGATGACATGACATTACCTTATGATGATACGTCATTTTTTAACGGTGGTACTAAAAAATAGTTAAGTGATCAAAATAGAACAAAAGTGATAATTGGGTACTAAATCTTTATTACACAATAACAAACTTTGTTGTGTATAAATATGTTCGTTGCCATTAATGAAACGAGGAAGAAATAATATTTCGCAATCTTCTTAGTTCTTCTTCCTCCATAAAATTGAATTAAAATAAAACTTAATTAGGTTGATTTTTTAAATGGGTACACAAATGGTCCCCTGACTATAACATATTGCTTTATTGAGTTCTCCAACTAATAAATATTACAAAATGGTTCTCCTACTATAGAGTGTTGCTTTGTTGTGTCCCTTAACTATTAAAAGTTACAAAATGACCACTTGACTATTCATTATGTTTCAAACTCGTCCTTTTCTGTTAAAAAATTAACAGTTGTCTGAGTTGGACGTTAACATGCTGACTGAGACATGATAATCGTTTGAGATTATGAGATCATATTTTCTCATATCTTAGTCAGCAGATTAACGTCCATAGCAAATTGTCGTCAACTTTTTAAAGAAAAAGGACGAGTTTGAAACATAATGAATAATCGGGTGACCATTTTGTAACTTTTGATGGTTGATGGACTAAACAAAATAACACCCTATAGTTGGGGGACCTTTTGTAAATTTTAATAGTCAAAGGACTCGACAAAATAGTATGCTATATTCAAGGAACCATTTATGTGCTTTACCCTTTTAAATTTAGACTAAAATTGACAAATTCACCGATAAACAAATTATATATCAATAAGATTTTGATTCATAAGCATGTAAGAATCTGGGGCACTAATCATTTGATTGACATTTTTAAACAGCCCATGGTGGAAATGTAGAAGAGAGAAATAAAGAGTGCAGGCACATATCGCACTCTCTTTTCCCAGGATTGGAACCCAGATGCCAACAAGCCCGCACACAGTGGCGGATGCACTAATCCCTTTAAGAAAAGAAAAATTAAAATTTTGAACCTCCATTCTTAAATTTCTAGATCCACCACTTCCCACACATATAACCGTATGGTTAGGAGACCTCAATTACAGGCTCCAAGGCATCCCTACACATCCTGCCCGAAACTTAATACAAAGAGACCTTTACAAAGTAACCTCATTTTCTCAATTCCATCAATTCATTCTGAAATTTGCATCAACTTTATTTATTGCCATTTGTAGCTGCTGAGAAGCAAAGATCAGCTCCTCCAGGAAGCTGAAAGAGGACAGATTTTCAATGGTTATTGTGAGGGAACACTTACGTTCAAACCAACCTATAAATATAATATAGGAAGTAGGAATTACGATACAAGTTATAAGGTGATATATTATGCTCTCTTTCTCACATTCAACATACAGAGTTAACCTTTGAACAATGGATACATTTTGATAGGTACGAGTTCCATCATGGACTGATAGGATATTGTTCAAGATCCAAGACCCTGACACAATTGCAGCAAGTTTGCACTGTTACGAATCAGTGGATGACATTTATAGTTCGGACCATAAGCCGGTGAGCGCCCACCTTTGTTTCAAAGTCCTCAAACAATAGCCGATTCAAATTTACCAATTTTCAAATTAACAGTGCAACTGATTTGTAATTTGTCTTACATATATCTTTTCCAATTCAAGCTTTCATTTCAACCCTCAATTTCTTCGCTAAGTCAGGTGTCTGCCTGCATATAACGTTACGACTCAATTGCTTTGTACCAATATATACGTTACAACTATTTCCTTCTTATTGGATTTTTTTCTTCTTCTCTTTTGACAATCTTCTAACTTTGAAGTATTATTTTCTTGTCCATGACTTGGAATTTCCGACAAAAAGTTCAAAAGCATAGAACGACTTCTTCCATTAGTGGGCCACGAGAATGTGGTATTGAATATTGATATAAATATGATCAAATTTAAGAATTATCTTTTGATAACTTAAAAACAACAAGTTTTTTCCTTGATATTCTCAAATCTTAAGTTGTTTATATATGAGTTTTTCTAAAAGTGTTTAAATATAATCTTCTAAACAATAACTCATTGTGTTATTGAAGATAAGACCTAAACATGCGCATTGTCGTTGTTATCCGGCTCATGCTCGTGTGTTAATGTTGTTTTTTTTCTAATGAAATTCGTACAGTTGTTTTTGTTTTTGGCCCATTATTCTTTATTTCTTTTATTTTGGTCTTGAATGACATCAGCGAAGAAACCATCCAGATGATATTATTGCCATAAATAAACTCATCATGTAAATATTATTATTATTATTATTGGTTTCTGAAAAAGAAATATCATATGTTATTTATTTCAAACAATATTTATATATCATACTCAATATATATAACCTTCTAAATTGATATAGTATTCGTCGATACATATTATACGTTTCAGAAATATATTTTTCAAAAAAAAAAAAAAAAGAGGAAGAAGAAGAATGGTTGTTTGGAATTTAACTCAAAATTCGATATGATTGACTTATAAACTCTAATTTATAGGATTTATGTTTTTGTTGGTATATTGTTCTCCTCTCATCATATGCTGAAATTCATGGAAATCAAGCACTCCATTGCCATCAAGATCGAACACACCAATCATGGCTTTACACTCTTCGTACGATTTCGCATCCCCGAGACGACCGAGCATCTGCTGCAATCCCACCGGTGTGATGCACCCACAACCTTTATCCACCTCGTACATCTCGAACGCTCCTTTAATATCATCATCATCTTCGCTTCCTCCTTCCATCAACTTGACAAACTCCTTGAATTCCAGCAGGTTGTCCCCATTATCGTCGAAATCTTCGATAACCCTTTGAACTTCGTTTTCCGATACGTTGTCTCCTATCGAAGTGAAGTAAGCACGGAGCTCCTCGCTCGAAATCTTTCCATCTCCATCGCTGTCAAACTGACGAAAAACTTCTTGAAGCTCTTCTTCTCTAGTAGTGTTACGGATTGTTGGCGGAGGAACGATCGGCGGTGACGGAAGCAGAAAGGTTGAGGATTTCGATTTCGAGCGAAAGAGAGGAAAACTTAACGTCATACCTCTGTAGAAGAACCATTTTGAAGGGTTTGAAATTCTAACAATTCCCATGGAAACCATATAATTGAAAACATTTATGATATATGATATTTATAAGTAGAAAAGAGGAACTGTTTTGGTCAGAAATTACCCTAGTATTTCACATTGGTTATGCAGATTAATTAATGTGTAAGCAAATGAAAGGGAGTAAGAGTCATGCGTAGGAAGTTGCGTGATTGGGAGATGAAATTACTATGTAGCTTCTTAGCTTATAGGGGGGAGGGACCAAATTATATGACTTGTGGACAAATCTTAGGTTAATTTTGTTTTGGGAAGGAGTAAATTTTTTCCCTCCCTTTCAGCTGGGGCATATAATAATGGTGAAAGAGAACCGATGACTTTGAGGTTTGCAAGCGTCACCTTTTTCCCACTTGAGTATAAAGGATACTTTTCTAACATTGGCAAGTATGTTATGAAATAAAAAGATCGAATTAAAAAAAAGTAGAGATAAGAGAATAAAGAAAGAAATTTTATATTATTATTTCAATCTGAATAGTGTATAATGTTTTCTCTTACATCTATATAGAAATTTGTTGATAAATTTTAAGAGTTAACTTAAAACTTTAGAAAAAGAGGTTTGTATTAAAATTTTTGAAGGGTTCGGTTTACATTCCCCAAAATCAGTGAGAATTTTTTTAAAAAATATGGGAGAATGTTTAATTAATAACATTAAAAAATTAAAATTTAATCTGAATTTCTAAAAATTTTAAAGGAGCCAATTTTGTTTTAATTTAAAAGGTCTAAATTATATTTTTTAAAATTTTGGGTGGCCATGACCCACTAATCTATCTTGTTTTCCAGCATTGTTTATAGGCATAAATAGTTGATATCATATAGAATTTTAGTCATAATGAATATTAAAGTCTTAATGATAAAATATACCAAATTCATAATTAATACATAGTGTTCTAATCATAATACACATCCACGTGAACAAATATTTAAAGTAATTTTTAAGTTCATAATATTTTTATATAGTATTTCATTTTGGCTTGATTTATGGTTAGTCCTTTAAATTATATATTTTTCCTCACATTGATCCATTTACTTTTGATTGAAAATGTTACGAGGTAAATTTTAATAAATGTCATATATCAATACATTTTAATTACGTTAGCAACAATCTAAAAAAATAATATCATTAAATTTTGATCTTAACATTTTTAACTGACCTTATTCTCATATGTAATGGGGTAATGGGGTAGGGGGAGGTATGGTAGTAGGCTACCTCCAACACCAGATTGAGAGCAACTTCCGTAGAAGACCTCTGTTATGAATTACTCTCAGTGGGACTCGATCTCATAATCACAAGGTTAAAAACATTGCGCTCTACCAATTGAGCCTATGACGGTCCATCTGTATAGCATACGACGCTCAAATATTTTCAATATAATAAAAGACAGAAGAACCTAAAAGCCATCGAGACGTTGTAAAAAAGTATAATGACTCTTTTATCCCTAAATTTTCAGTTTTTGTTATTTGGACTTTAACTCAAAGGAAAAAGTAAGAGTTACCAACGTTTTCTATTTTATTTTTCATCAATGTTGACCTCAGTTAATTTATCATTGTGTACAAAGATATAAAAAGGTAATTTTTAAAAAACATTATTGAGAATTTTAAATTTGGAAATAACAGAAAATAATATTAAAAAGTTACTGAAAATTGTAAATGGAAAACAAATGAAAAATTATAACAAAGAATCCTAAAACTGTAAAAGTAAATTTAAATTCAATATATATATATATATATATCGAAACAATTTTTTCTTTTGAATTGGGATTTTAAAAACCACACACTTTTTTTTAATTAATTTCTCTTTTGATTAATTTTTAATTAAAAGTAATTTGATTTTTAAAAAATCTGTCATTTCGAAAAATTTGGGATTCCCTTTAAATAAAATATGTATGGTTCGAGGAGTCGCCACCAATATTAGATTAGGGTGTGATTGAGCACCCAAAAAAAGTATTTTGTCATTTTAATAAAATATTAATTTTAATTAAAACAACAAATTTGAGGTTTGTATTACCAAAATTTGAGTTCGGGAGTCGGTTACGTGTGGGAAGGATTAGCACCCCCACAACACCCTAAATTTGTACCTAGTCGATTAATTAATTGTATTTGCAGTGAATTTTACAAGTTCGAATTTAATTTAGTTTATGATCCCATAAAACAACAATTTATGAATTTTAAAATGAAACTAATAATATTTAATTATTTACTATCGAGAAGAAAATAACCTCTCATACCTTGAGGCAATCAATTCTTACTCCAATTGAAATAAAGAAATATTATGGTTCCATCATAATATTCAAATGCACCAAAACAAATTAAATTAAAAATTACCAATCCTTTTTAGAAAGAAGAAGAATATTCGATTATTTAAAAACGTCGAGATCAGACCTTAGATAAGTTCTAACAATCTTTTCTCGAAGAATTTAAATGAACAAATATTTCTTATTCTCTCATTCCCGATTTTTAGGCGAGGAATCATTTTTTTTGGGTTCATTGTTGGGATACACTTTTAGTTTAAAATCATCGGAAGTGATTCTCTAATAAGTTAAGACAAGCCCCTCACAACAATTTTAAAATAAAAAGATATTACCCTTAATCCAATTATTTGATATGGGTCGAGTTATGCAAGTGAGGGTACCATACATATTATGCAAAAATGATGTCATACGACTCGTAAACAAATCATTCGCATACTTGTACATATATAAATATATCAACATGCAAAGCAATTATAAACCATTAATTAAAGAAGGCAATTACCTAACAAGTGACTAAATTAAAATAGATCTAAATGTAAGATATAATTCTAAAAGATAAAGTGATCTAAATATGCTAAAATCAAAAATACAAATTTAATTAAAATTAATAATCATGAAGAAAATTTTAACAAACTAATTAGCAAAAAGGTTAATCAATAATGTAATTAATCTGAAGAGTAAAATATACCAAAAATAGAAAACCAGGGATCAAAATTAAAATAACAACATTTAAATAAGGGACTAAATTAAAATTAACATAATAATTTAGGGACCTAATTTTAATACAATGAAACAAATTAGTATGGTGACCAAATTAGCATAAATCAAAATTAATCATAAATAAATTAGAAATATGAAACGACCAAAATATGAAAGCCAATCTAAATTATAATGACTAATGCATGATTTTTCAATTTTAGTAAACCTAAAATACACTAACAATTAAAAAGGAAAAAACCTAAAATTAGGACATTACAGCTAAATCAAATACAAAAAGTTACAATACATTGATCATATCGTAAAGAATGGCTAATGTTTGGGGGCATAAACATAGATAACCATATAAAAATGAAAAATGACATGAATAGGGGATGTACATTCGAAGTAAACAAAAAGGAATCAATGGACTAGTTTGTAAAAACAAGTGCAAATATAGGGGATTGAAATCTAATTTACCCTATTAATAACCTAAGCAATTTCTAAACAAAATAATAAAGGGGAAATTTGCATATGAGCCCAGTAATTCAAATAAAATCAGACAACTCAAATCAGTGACCAATCTGGAAAAACACGGTAACTATACAGGGGTATGAGAAAGAATAACCACAAAAATTGACATAAATGTGAAAAATAGCACGATGAGGACATCTAAACTCGAAAAACATTAAAAAATATCAATAATCAGTGGCCAAAATAGGAAAACACGATAAACGTACAGGGAGTAAAACATGAATAACCCTAAAACTTTATTATAAAACTAAAACTAACTCTATATTAACCCTATACATCTTTTCCCTCTCCCATGGCCGAATTTCTACCCTTCTTCCCCTTCTCTCACGCACGACCAAGAGCCCCCAAGGAGCAAAGCCACCATATTTTGGTGGCTCTCCTCACTTCAAACCACCGGCTGAGGCGACCGAATACCACTAAAAAGATTCTAAACGAAACCGAATAAAATCTCCTCCTTCCTCTAATCGAACCCAAAATAAAACGAGACTCACACACGCCCTGAACTGTCGTAAATCGACAATAAAACTTGAATGACTGCCACCAACGGGAGGTCGGATTACCCAAGACTTAGACCCTAAAAAAATCTTCATTTTTACTCCAAAAAGAATGAAAACAAGACCCCAAAACCCATTCTCCAACACGTCTAAGGGAGACCGACTCTCCAACTTCCTCTCCAATGCTCAACTCCAGAGACCAAAGGCCAACCACTACTCAGACGAGGAGGCCATACGTCTAAGGTAAATCGACCCTCTTCCCTCTCTTTACTACTTCTGTCTTTGCTTCAAAACTCCCTTATCTTATTATGTTTATTTCGAAATAACACACACAGACACCACACACTAGAAATAGAAAAATGAATTCAAAATGAATATATACCTCAAGACACTGCTATTGCCTTTGTGAATGATTGGTATTTTATTTCGAATGGAAGAGTGGATCAAAAAATTGCTTTCCTTTATTGCTTCGAAAATGGTGGTCGAGAGACCTTTACAAACTTTTTTTCGATTTGTTTTTTTTCTGCTATAATGGTTTTGGTTGCTCTCTCCCTCCTCATTTTTTTCCTGTTGTTCTCTAAGAAAAATGGCCTCCCATTTTTGTGTGGTTTTTTTTGTTGTCTTCCACTTTGAATGGTGCTGATCTCTGTAATATAATGTGTCTATATTCTGTTTCGTATGGCCGTTGAGCTGTTGAGGAGGAGCTTCTGGATGGGCCAGCTAAGTGAATCGGTTACTCGTGAGACCTTGTTGTTAGCTGGTAGACGGTTTGGTGACGAGGTTTAGTGGGACCAGTTGGGACTGCTCACGTGGAGGAGATGGACCAATGTCAACTCAGAAAAAATTAAGGTAGAACAGTTGGCCCTCTTTGCTTATCGTTATGAAATAATAACAAAGCAAAGACAAAAGATACCCTAATTTTATCGGGCTCGGTTGGAAGAAATTCAAATGGTTAATCCGCTCCACTACAACTTCAGGGTAGGTCAGACTTGATCTGCTCCACTCTTCTTTCAGGGGA